TTTTTTTTTTTTAAAAAGGAGCTCCCTTTTTTTTGTGGGGTTGGGGTGGGGGGGCCCCCCCCCCCCCCCCCCCCCCGTCTCGCCGGCACTTCTATTTCCTGCGCTCAGGTCTGCGCGAAGAAGTTCATCGTTATCGTCGACGACTCCAAGTTCGTGCCCGGTCTCGGCATCTCTGGGTAAGGAGAATGATGCGGTGTAGGGAGGATGAGACACAGAAGGAAGGGGCGGAGCGTGGGGTAGCCTGGATGCCTCGGGGGTGGGGGGGAGAGAAGCGGGACCGATCAAGTTTTCTCACACATGGACCGCGCCGACGTGTGTAGGAGACGAGAGTCACTGGGGCCTGAGAAACGCGAGACACGCCTCCGACTCGTCGTGCCTGCTCGTTGTGTCTTTTATCGTGTTCTCGGGTCGGGTGTTAAAATCGCGAGGCTGCTCAGCCATCCTATCACTCTGGGCACCTGCCCATTATAAAGTCATATCCTATTTTTGCGTTTTTCACAAAGTTTTGTATTGTTATGCGGATGCGTGGTTCGCGGTTACTTCTGGTCGAATCACCGCTGCGACGTCTCCGTTGTATCTGCTGAGGTTCGCGGTGTCACGAATCCCCACCTCTCTGCGTCTCGCGCGTCCTTTGACACCCGGGGGTTGCCGGCTTTTGTTTTTAAGGGCGATGCCGGTGGAGGTCACCCCGTTCTGCTGGGAGCACACCCTCAACACCGTCAAGAACTTGCCCAGCATCAAGGTCAGTGCAGTGAATCGAAACTTCTGTCGAGAACGACTCAAAGAACGTAGTCGACGCCAAGCAATGAGGCTTGCACGCGCACGTTTATCTTGTCCGGAGAGTAACACGCCAGCCTGCGAGTGGGGGTTTGTCTTGTGAATGTGCTCGTAGGGAGGGCGCCACAACAGTCTGCAGTTCTGCGCGCACAGGTGGAGGGACTACGTGCCGAGAACATCTTGCCGCGGAATATCACGCGGGACAGGGTCGTGTGCCGTGCGCGAGTTGGGGCACGTCCTGGTTGGCGCTCAGAAGCTCGCTTGCGTGCTTCCTTCGGCGGGCAAACGAGTGTTTTGTCATGTGACTATCTCTCGCCCACTGCTGTTGGTTGGTCACCACGGAATGAACCTTGTTCATATGGACGTTAAAGTACCATGACTTGACGCTCCGCGATGCGATACATGACATGAAAAACTGAAGTGGGCAGAGGGCCGTGTTCGTATTTCAACGATGTGTGCCCTGCACATGTCTTTTGCCTGTACTAGGCGTGAAGTGCACGAATCGCCTTGAGATACAACATTTGCGCCCACTCCGCAAATCGTCTGCTACTCCGTTAATTTTCTTGTCCCGAACCGTCCTCCAATTGATCGAC